TTCTCAAGCATGAGACACTCCCCACAGGAGTTTCTGCTCTCAAGGCAGGAGTGGGGGAAAGAAATGCACCCTCGCCCTTAAGGTGTCTGTATGTGTTGACAAGCTCCACTCTCTGTCATCTCTTTTCCAGGCTAAACAAACTTAGCTCTCTCAGCCTTCCTGCAAAAGAGAGATGCTCCAGTCCCCATGAGCAAGTTCATACGGGAACATGCAAAACTGGGTCAGGGATAGTAATATAAGCATGTGTGTCAACTGACCAAAACTGACAGAGTAAGGGTTAAAAAGTCAAGTGCCCTCTGACAGCCCAGCTGTTACAGAGCAGTTTTGCTTTCTCTAATGTCAGCAAAAAGTACAGTTGAGCAGGAGAATGGTGCTCTCAGTGGCTTTTCCATGGACTACTTCTTGCCACCCTGGAAATATTAAAGCTTAAGCTTTAATGTGTTAGTTTTTCCCATTACTTTGTCAAGCCTGCAGGAAATCCACCATTTTCATTATTTCCACAAGTTTCACTTGCACTTCCTGTGTGAAGTGTTTGAATCCACAGGATCAAATCAAGCTCCGTATGACCATCTGATTTACAAACACATTGACTGTGATGCATTATTTTAAAATTGCCTTTTAAAATTTGAAAGGATTTCCAAATACTTTTTAATAATTCCCTAGAACAGTGTAAGGACATGTGTTAAAGTATTGAATTTCCTTAAAGCCAGCATTTGGGATTGCTCCAGCTGCAAATTAAGGTTGTCAGTCAAAGTGCTTTTTCTGGTTTAGTCTCTGAGTTTTTAGCATCTCTTCCAAAGCCAGCCAAAGGAAGCAGCTATTGAGCTGTTAGGACTTGTTTTGCCATGTGTTTAACCTAGCAAAAAATCAGCCAACAGATACCTTTTGTGTTCTGTGTTTGACTGGATACCTCGCTGCTTAGTCAGGAAACAAGCTATATTGTTTTGACATGGTTTTGCACTTTTAACCTTCTTTTGCTGCTGCATATGTCCAGTGTTTTAATATGTTGAATAGCTGTGGCAAATTCTTTTGTGAGTCTGTAATTTATATAGTTAAGCCATTAGGTTAATGAGAGGCTGGAGGAAGAGTCAGAATGATGTATTTACTATGTGGGATTTCCTGCAGAGATGAATAGGAGATTCGTGGTGGGCTGGAAGTACATAACCAGCCCAAAGAGTCCATAAAAGATCCCAGCTTCACCTGCCCCTAGAAATGGAGCTGCAGCCCAGAGCAGGATGGGATCCTCCATTGGTGTCCTGCAAGGGAAATGTTTGAAAGAAATCAGAAGCAAAGAGGAAAACAGAAGGGAAAAAAAATGAAATGCATCCTAGTCCCATTGAAGTCTCTACCTCAGTTTCTTCAGCCACATAATCAAAGGAACCACTGGAAAGGAACAATAACGAAAAATAGTGTTGGAAGGAAAGTGACCACTGATTTAATCTGCGCAGTTGCGTAAGTTAAATTAAAGGCTGTAGTTCAGTGCAGTGTAATGGGGTGGCTAAAATGGAAGGCAACTGGGACTCTTCTAATGCAACACAGTTAACAGAGGGTTCTTATCAAGAGGTTGAAGTCATAACAGCTGAGTGTGGGCATAAAGAGCAAGTTGGGGCAGTGTGTGGGTTGGCAGCAGCATTTACTCTTGAGGAGCGTGGGGGAAACCTTGTTGTCATGTTTGTGATGAGACAAAGAACAAATGACAGAGAAAGAGATTTCTCAGTATGTCAGATACCATGCAGGCAGTGAAATCTGCTGGGTTGTAGTGTGATCAGAGAGATTAGATGTATTTTATCTCAAATGTACTTTTCTGAGGAACACAGGTAAACCTTTTGGAGAGAAACAGGTAGACAAAGAGAAGACGGTTATTTTCCCTACTTTTCTGTACTCAGAAGAACGTTTAACCCAGTTTTCTATTCACTTCCATTTTCTTTGCATCAATTCCAAGAGTAAAATGCATTTATTCCTTTAATGTTATTTATTTGAAAGATTTAGGAATGGATTGTTGCATGTTAGATTTCAGAAATGTGATGTGTCTCATACTTACAGTGTTATAATTAGAGTCAGGTGTACTTATTTATTGCATTCTAACTCTAGGTCTATCAAGTGTTATGACAGTTTATGAAAATATTACTTCACTCCATAATCATTTTTATTTTGGTGACGATGCCGTATTGATCTAGATTTCCATTTATGTGCATCAGCATATTTAATTTTGTCTCATGACAGCATGAAAGTGGAAGGTTTTGTCGTTTCAGTTATAATTCCTAAGTATTTTAAGAATTTTTTAATACTATAATTATTTTTTCCTGTGTGATTGAAGGAAGCTGGCAGGCATCACCAAGCTTGCACAGAGGAAATATTTTTTAATGTTCAATGTATAAGAAATGTCTTGTTGTTATCTTTGTAAACAGAAGATGATGGACAGAAAAGCTGCAGAATTTTCAGTAAAAGAGGACGGTTTTTTCAGCTCTTTTTCATTTCTTAATGGAAGAAGAATTATGGAAATGAGAGCAGGCATTGCATTAAGTGCTTGAAATATTCCTTCCCTGCAGACCAATAAAAACATAACTTTTCCATTAGGGAAATTCAGTTTTTTGAAGGCTGCATGAATCTGAGCTCTGAATCAGTGAATGAGATGACTATGCTGGGATAAGCATTTCAAGGTCTGATTATGTACTTTAAGTCTTTCGTAGGTGGATAGCAGCAACTTTCCTGTGACTCTTTTTATATTAACTACTTGGCTTATCTTTCAGTACTTCTGTAGTGCAATCTCCTGGTAGCAGATCAGTAACAGAGTTTCAAAGCCATGGGGATTGAATGATTCCTAGCTGAATTTGGACTTTTCAAAACACTCTAGGTCTTTGCATAACTTCATAAACAAAAGTCAAACACTGCAAGTCAAAATTATGGCCTTTCTGTGCTTCATATGACATGTTTATAGTGGTTATGATCTCACCTATGATAGATTGTGCAGATTATAGCTGTCTGCCTTTAAAAATATCCTTCATCTGTAATTGCGAGATGAAAATGTAGCAGTAAACTGCTATCACTGGGGTGTTCAAATTAGGTCCCTGATCAGGGCTGTGGAGAATTAATACCAGAGCAAGTGGGTATTCAAGTGAAGCCATCGTTTTTCTGTGCTGTTAACCATGAAATAGTAACCAACATAAATTCCTACATTCTAAAAGATCACAAATAAAAATGAATAAAAAAGAGCAAAATCATTACGAGTCATTACCCCTGCTCCTTACTTCTTATTAATCGTATTTCAATTTCATATCCTATATTATCTAAGCCGTCAAACATATCACAGAGGTATATAAGGATGATTTGTCCTCATTTAGTGTATGAGGAGACAGAGACACTTAAAAGCTTCTGAAACTTGTCCAAGATCTGGGAACTATTAAGTAGAATTCTTTCTTTCTGTTATTTTTATTTAGTTGTAAATAGTCTGAATGTAGCCATAATGCTTGTTATAATTGATCAAATAAATCCCATTCCCCCTTTTTTTGCTGAAGGGCTGATCCCATGGGTGTATGCAGCATGAATAGTTAAGGCAGTAAATGTGACTATTGGGAATATTTGGTCAAAATATGGGCTGGTTTTGTTTGAGTTTTTTGAGGTTTGTTTTCTGCAAGCACTGCTGGGAATAGTTTACTTATCGCTAGAAGTGTTCCTTGAAGCTCTAGTGCACCCCAGGGCTTCCATGAGTGCATTCCTATGATCCCGTTCTGGTTTATATGCAAACAACCTAACCCTTCTGCCACGATCCAGAAAAATCTGTGCAAATATTTGTTATGATACTTATAAATTCAGGTGTCAAGGAGAACACGTCTGACCTAAAGATCCTCTGTCACCATCCTGATTATTCATTCCTAATGGTAAGATTTGAAAACACTGGAAAAAGGCTTTGGTGGAAGAAGCACATGGACATAAAATGCTCAACTTCTTGCTGATTTTTTCACTAGTTTATCCCCTCTGCCAATCCTATGGCTTAGTCAGTTGATGAATTTAATCAGCTGCCTGCTCTAGACATTATTAAGAGATATCAGCAGTGAATTTCCACCTTGCACATTAGATTTTTGGCTGATTTAAGTTGGGGTCACCCTGTGCTGGTGCTGTAGGTGGTTAATAGCCCCTGAGAAACCAGCTGGGTGGACTGGTGGAAAACACGAGTTCCTGGGAGTCTTGGATGTGTTTGCACACAGGAGGAGCCAGATGGTTTTCTCTGTGGGTTTTCTTTGGTTTCACTCTGTGGGAGAAGTACCTGAGGTGGATGCTGCCAGGTAGTTGTGTGAATTCTTAGTGTGTTAACAGCTGCTCTGGCTCTTCTCTCAGAGGTATATTTACAGCATAGAAATGAAAACTAAATAGAATTCTGTGCGGTGAAGTTGGGAGTGGGGAAGACTTCATGCCTTGTATATCTCCTGAGCCGGTGGGATGTGTCTGGTCGCAAGGTGGCATCCCAACCTGGAATCTGGTGGTGGCACATGCTGCATGGTTTATAAGTGCTTTGAGATCAAAGGCACTTTTTACATGTTAATAAGGTTTTCTTGTTCACAGCCCTTGGGCATGGCTCACTCACATGGCCATGTGGTAGGCACCACAGTCATCTGAAGCTGTGTGTAATATTGCGGATTTGACTCTAAATTCACTGCTGCATCCAGCCAGCCTCCAAAAACACCATGACTTTTGGGAAGCTTAGGTCAGGTCCCATATGACCTGCATGTTTCAAAATAACCGGTTGGTTGGCTTATACTGTCAAAGCCAACCATCCCTAAAATAAGGCTAGTCTCTGGGACTTTATCTGGGCCAAACAGATGTGTGGACTGTGATTTTATCCTGGACAATAAGAATTAATTCAGGGTAGGCCTGCACCTAAACCACACACCCAGTGCTGGGGCCATTAACAGCAGCCCTGCAGCATCAGGTTCAAGCTCAAGCTGACTGGTCTCAGGCAGCAACCCCCATCTCACGTGCTTACTCTCATGCTCTTGTTCCAGGGCAACCCACTGTACTTCCAGTCTGCCAGAAATGTGACAGTGAACATCCTCAATGAGAAGACTAAAGTCCTTACTCGCCTCGTAACAGGTAAGGAGGGGAAAAAGCTGTGTGGTAAAACTAAGGAGGGATGAAAGCGGGTGTGTTGTGGGATGCTGTGCTGGCTTTAGGCAATGCGCAGGAGGAGAGCCCAGGTTTCTCATGAAGTACAAATGAAAACTTCACTCCACTTTGTAGAAACAAAGCTAGGTACATGAAAGCCGTGCTGGAGAGGCAGCTGGCTGATGCTTTCTGGTAATGAAGCAGACCACTGTTTTCATTTGAAAGCCAATGTAGAGACAGAAAGGTTAGTTGTAAGACTTCAGGGTCAAGGAGAACATCTGCAAGCTGACATTTCTGTTGTAACAGGCACAGGCTTTTCCTGAGACACTTTTAACTTGCCTAAGATCTTGGGAACTCCACAGACTAAATGTGGCTGGGCTGGGACTTTGCAGTTCAGAGCTCTCTGTGCCCTTCTGCTGCTGAAGGATGCTCTCATGCTCTCAAGTGTGAGTGTGTTTGATGGGAAAATGGGTGTCTCATAAATCCCCAGTGCACAGCAGCCTTTGAATGAATGCACGTGTAATTTGGGTTGGAAGAGCCTAATGCATTATATATATTGTAATATATATTATGTACATGATATAGGATCGATATTTATACATTGAGATTTTTCTGGGGGCCGGGAGAAGTGTTGCTGTGTGGCAGAGCCTGTAATCCATAAACATGTTGTTTCTACATGAGATTGGGTTGTTTGGTTTGCTTATATAACATCTTGGCCTCTAGTCACAGCATTAAATAATTAAATATGCAGCTTCAGTAAGCAGTGATTTAAGCAGCACGTGTGAAAATTGCCTGGAGGAAGGAAATAAATTCAACCCCAAGGTCCCTGATTCTCACTTTCAGAATGAACATGTTCAGTTTGTTTGTTCTCCCTGTATTTTCCAGAGGGCATTTGGTTACTTAAGCACCTCCATGTCGTGAGAGCTCGGGAGGATGTGGTCAGTGATGTCTCTCCGTGTGGTGCTCTAGTTATTGAGCTCATTTCTGCGTTCAGCAGCAGCTTTGATTTCAGAGCAAAGCAAAGAGGTGGTCCCGTGTAGTGCATGCCACAGTGATGTGTAGGGAGGCAGTTAATTAGCAAGATGGAAATCAAACTTAAAGTACTGGATTTTCTCACAATGGCTGCAAGAGTTCTGAAGTGTTTCCAGGGATCTCAGCATAGCCTCACGTTTCTGTAGTGTGAGCCATGCACGATCGTGTGTGCCCTGATACCAATACAGATGACCTGTGCAGCAAAACACTGTGTATAGATGGAGTTTGAAACTGCCTATGAGAAAACACTGGCTTTCAGGTATTATTTCTCTTGTCTTTTGAGAAATGAGAAATCAGACATGAAGATGGCCAAAGCTAATGCAAAGCTGGTCCCCTGCCCTGCACAGTGCCATATTCCAGGGAGTCTGTGGATTGGACTGAGTTGCACAGGGCTGTTAGGTGGTGACTTTTCCAAAGTTCAGCCTCAGTCTGTAACCAAGGGGTCTGCTCTTTGCAGCCTTTGAGCCGCAGATCTCCACAGAATTGCTATTCAGGCAGCTGATGTTTATCAGGCTCCCCAACAGAACACATTGCCAGAGGCTCTCCAGCACTGCGGTGCGCAGCAGCCTGCAGGAGAGGCAGCAGAATTGAAGTAAGAGCAATGAAGGAAAGTTTAACTGATCTAAAAACTATGAAACATGGGAGGCTGCCGTTCATCTTGGCCTGCAGTTGGTTCAAATGGTCTAAAAGAAAAACATTTGCTTCTGTGGTGGGGTTTGGTTTGGTTTCTTTTATATTGGACTGTGCATGACGCTGATACCATTCAAGTCCAGGTATATTTAACAGGCAGGAAACCAGGAGTCTTTTACTCCACAGCATCAATCCAAGCAAAATGGACTCAAGAACTCCTGATGTGTCTTAGAGCTGCACCAGTGGTTTCAAAGCGTGGCTGAGTATATTCATTGCCATTTCACATGTGGATCTGCCTTTTTGTAAGAATTTCATAGCTATCCCAAGTTTAATGGTGATTTTATGACAAACATGAACATTAACAAAAACATAAGTAGAAAAAGTTGAGAGGTCGTTATTTGGGTAGAAAATGGTGCCCTTTCCTAATGAGATGTCACCCTCTGAAAAGCATGGACCTCCCCGTTTGATGTGTCAGGTGCAGTTTGTTTCTGCAGGGCTATTAGGACAATCTCAGCAGATGGGTTTATTAAATGTACGAAGCTACTATGTAATTTTCTTACACTTTTCACTAAAAGGTTGTGCTTCTTCCCTCTAGGTCCCCAAGCAGTGGAAGCACACAGCCAAAAATTTGAGGTGAAAACCCTCTCTGGAAAATTGCTGTTTTCTGCAGATGACAACGAAGTGGTGGTTGGAGCAGAGAGATTGAGAGTTTTAGGTAAAATATTTTTCACTAAATCAGTCTTTTAATATGCACCTCTTCAAATTCTAGTATGGTTTTGCCTGACTTTCCTTCATGCTTCTTTTGGAGATAAAGCCTATGGCTGTCTTTATTGCTTTGAATCTTCCCCAGGCAGATAATGGCCAGGAGTTTGTCTGAGAGGTTTCTTAACTTTCACAATGTGTTATTTCCCCTCCAAAAAAAAACCCTACCCTGGAAGTGGTTTGTTTGGCTTAGTGAAGTAGATTTAAAAGCATCTTTGAAAACTGATGAACTTTATGTCTTGTGATGAGGGACAGTGAGGAATCATTCTAAGGAGGCTTCTATGTCTACAGTCACTGTGTGTAGGGAAACCTCAGGCTTCGTGGTTTTGATTACCATTTTACCAGCTCCTCTTTCATTCTAAAGCAAACACAAAGCAGGAACCTGCTGGGAAAAAGTCAACATGAATTAGGACCCAGTGTTAATTTTCTGAAGAGTTTGATGGCCTTTATGTTAGCTGTTCTTACTTAGCCACATGGAAGAGCATGTTGTGCATCTCTGAGCCATTTTCAGCTATGCTGTTGGTAGGGTTAAGTGTCCTGTGCATGGAAGGAGAGTCCAACCTTGCCAATGCCACCGTTTCCCCATCTGACTTTTGAGACAGACAGGGCATCTGGAGCAATCCTGCCTGTGCAGGATCTGCCTCCCCTGCTGTCCTTCCTGATAGGCTTTACATCTGTCGTTCCTAACAAAAATGGGGACACAGTTTGGGGTATGGGGGTTGTTTATTGTTTGCTTGGACTTTTATTTGTAATTAGAGAAAATAAACAGTTACGATAATTGTAAAATTTTAAGTGTATTTGATAGTTAATGAAATTCCTTCTCAGAAACTTGAATTCTCTTGCTCTCCAGTTCGATCTGTGCTCTTTGCTTAGTCTGAGATTTGTTTGTGAATTATCATGTAGGACCAGACTGGGTAGCTCAGTACTGCTAAGCAGTTAGCCACATAGCAGTGCCACTGATCCCTGTGGATGCACTGGTGCTGGTTTTCTAATGGCTTGATTTGGATGCATCTTTAGTAAGCTCCTAAAAGGAGAAAGATCAGTGAAGGAGCTTAGAATGATACATAGTGGCTTTAATTATTATTATTTCTACGTATTGTATAGCGTATTACTAGTATATGGTGTGTAATGTGAAGGAGCTTAAAATTAGCACCTCAGAGTCTAACCATCAGAAATGGGGCTTTGTGTCCTGCCCTTAGTGGTTTTTGTTACCTGATGTCTTGCTATTCTAGATGGTTCCTGTTTGAGGACAGGCCAGGGGTAGCTCTTTGCTGGCTGCTGTTGTTACATGCTGAACTAGTTTAGTCACCAGCTATACAACTTAGGTGAGTTTTATAGGATAAACGTTGATCTTCACAAAATTAGCAGTACCATTTTTAGCTAAAAACTTTGAAAAGTTTGTTCACCCTTCAGAGCTGATTACCTCGGCAGTCTTTGTGCAGGAGAGATGAAGTTAGAAAGCAACAGTTTCTAAATGTTTTCTTGCAGACCTTAAAATGAGAGAGATTTATATCACTGGTTCTTCAAAAAGGCACAGAAACGTTTCCTTACAAGTTACAAGTTCTCCTTTTTACATACTTACAAAAATATTGCTTTTAATTTACTTTGTCCTTTGAAGAAACCAGCAATTATTTTTATTTAGTTATTTTGAGTTTCTGCCTTTTTTTAGTCTCCAGAATAAACATCATCAAGACTACTGCTGACCACTGTAGTTCATTTTCATTTTTGTCTGCAACTGAGTGTTTCTGGGGGGTTTATTAGGCCTATGCAGACCTATCAGAAAAGAAAAAAGTAGAATGATACTACTGGTGGTGTTGCATGGCGAGTGTTCTGATGACCTTGAGCTGAAATGCTTTCAGAGTTCATTCTTGGCTTTGGTTTTCTCCAGCTTTGCTTCCCCAATCTAATTTTATCTCCAAAAGTGTTTGCCATGGCTGTTTGCCATGCTGGGAAGTGTTACACCATATGTTCATATTTCTTCCAGTGTTTTTGTCTGCACTTGAGGCTGGTCCAACTTGTACTACACAAATTCCTTTGACCATTTCTCCAGTGGTCGGCATCTCAGGTGCTGTTGGTATGTGTCTGCTGACACCTATCTGTGCTATGTAAATAGTCTCAACTTGTTATTGCTGAACACATACTTGTTACAGAAGGAAGTGATGTCTGCAGTCTGGCATGAACGTCATCTCACAAAGGTTAGAGCAGCAGTTACTGGGGTCGTGGCTGGCTTTTAATCGTGTTAATGATAATTACTTTTTTCTTTGTGCACTCTTCAAAGTTGATTCCGAAAGTTAGTTTTACACAGTAAATGAGGAAGCACAGTCATGAGGAAAGAGGTGCTTTCCTTTTTTGAAATGGACTCTGCTCTGGGGAGCCAAGGGATTTTTCAGCATTAGCAAGGCATTAAAAAAGAGAGGAATGCACAGTTATGGATAAAACCTGTACAAGTAGGACATGTGCTGCATTTGATGGTGCTTCAAAAAAATGCACAGCATGAGTAGTGCAGATTACCAAATGAAAACACTTTTTATTTTAATTGTGGGGAGTTAGTCCTGTTTATAATGAGTAAAGGACACAGAAAGACAGAGTTGGTCCCTTCTGCTTTTCACGCATGATGTAATTTAGAGTACGTCAATGATTTTATTTGATTTAGTGAATCCAGTTAAACCTGTCATCATAGGAGAGCTTGGAGGATAACGGGAACTTCTGTTTGAGGACAGGGCAGCCCTCTGAGCCCTTTGGCCGTGGTCAACTCTGATGACAGTCTACATAACCTTTTCCAGACACAAGCATGAATTCCCTCTGCCTTGCCCAGAGCCAGCCAGAGGCCCAGCATCTGCATTCGTACAGATGACTCAGAAGAAGCTCATGTTTGCCTGCAAAAAGTCACGTAGAAACTGAGCCTTATACCACATCTGGTCTGCCCTTTTTCTTCAATCTTATCTGCCAGTCTCCTCCACTCTTGTGGTGGCACATTCTCACTGATAATGCCCCTTGCTTTTACAAGCTCCATTCCTGCAATATCTGAGCACCTCATGGTCTTTTAAAAGATACTACAGCAAATCTCAGAGCCGGTCTCATTCCTCAGAACCACAACTCTGGTTTCACAAGGCTTAGATTTTGAAAAGGAAATCTGTCACTCCTCTGCCTGCTAAACAGCACCATGGTGCTGCACATGGTGGTGAGCGTGGGGTGAAGTGCAAACCGCTGCAGTGGCCGTTGCCATGGTCAGCCGTGCATTTTGGTAAACACCACACAGATACAAGCTAATGCCTTGCTGGATGGCCCCTGTGGGCTCATAAACACATTGGGTGTGCATTGCAGGAGGTGAAAGAGCTGGTCCTAATTGAATTCATATGTGGTGCATCATACAGCTGTTCCCCTTCCTGCCTCCTCCCTCCCTTCAGAAATGAAACGTGTTCAGAGCATCTGAAAAATAGTGTGTGAGAAATGCTCTTTAGTTAAAAGAGCATTAACAAATAACTTTGATATCTATTAATTACCATTTTCATTTAATAACATATTGAACATTATAGCATCTATAAACAAAAGACAATCATAAAGCATTATTCCGACTGCTAATTAGCTCTATTTATTCTCCAGATTAGTTTTTAAATATGCCCTCTAGATGCCACTTGATACTAATTAACAGAGTTACAATATTATCTCTATAGTAAAGCGTTTTTAATTAAATCTAAAGCAATTTAAATTAGCATGAGTTTTTACAGAAATTAAACTGTGGTCAGATGCTTAATTTAGCCTTATAAGACAACATCTGATGACATGGGGGTGTCAGTTCCCCCAAGGGCCTTGACATCTTTTTTGGAGCTTATTTTCTGAAGTTTGTTTTCAGGGACACTTGCCAGTACACTCTGGTGTTTAATATTTATGATGGATTTAACCAATATTTTGGTTTTTAAGGCTGAGCATTGATGGGAATCCAAGGCATTGCAGTGAGCTGAGATAAAAACGCAAAAGACGCATTCCTGCAGCTTAACAAGCTTTCACAGTCCCTGGCTTTGCGTGGTGGAGGAAGGTTTGTGTGGGAGGTAGGATTGCATGGGCTGAATGCTGTCGCGTTACAAATCAACCACGCTTTTTAGCCATTCTTGAGATTACCATTTTGCTTTGCAATGAGGCTAGGATTAATCATAAAACCCACAAGGTCCCTTTTCTGTCATAGAAGAATGCAGAGATTGCTTCAGCTGTGGGTCCTTGAAAATGTGCCTCTCACTTTAGACATTTATACCACTTTTTTTCTACTACAGCCTAATGATAAAAATTTGGCTAAAGCCTTTCCCTGTGTCAAACTCTTCACTAAAATAGCTGTATTTAGTGTGGGGTAGGATGCCTTTCGTCTCCCCAGTATAAAGACTGCAGGAGCTTCTCTGCAGGACGTGTGTGACCCATCCTCCACACATTGCACTCCTCCCCAGCACTATGGCTGGCCAGAACGTACCTTTGATCTCGCCAACGCATTGCATGCTCTCTCTTCAGGTAATTAGCCAGTAGCTCTATTTCTACCTCGTAGCTTTTTTTCACTTTAGTATGTTCCATCTGGGCAATGAATCATGCGGAGCATGCAAATGCTGACCACAGGTTAGACTTCCAGGAATGTTAGTCTGGTTTGGGAGCATTTCTTGTTCTAGTTTCTCTCCAGGTGCCTGGGAATGCACTTGAACAGAGGAGTTAGATGTTGAAATGTTATTGCAGATTTATTAGTAAGTTTGGAGTAATTAATTCCAAGGCACATTTCCAACATTTTATTTATGAGCGGTATATTAAGGGCTGGAGAGGTTTTAGTGGAGGAACACCAATGATAAAAGCAATGATATAAGCCCAAGTCAATGAGATGACTGCATGATTGTCTCATGGAAAGCTCTTTTAAATGGGTTTGCGTTGGGGTTTTCTGTTACTGGGGGCAGAGAGAGTAACCTGCTCTGTATTTGCAGA